CCCCCTCTACCCTCCTTACAACCCCCTCTACCCTCCTTACAACCCCTCTACCCTCCTTACAACCCCTCTACTCTCCTTACAACCCCCTCTACCCTCCTTACATTTCCCTCTTATACATCCCTCCTTATAGTCACCTTTACATTTTCCCCTTATACCCTTCCTTACTCTGTTTCAAAATCATGGTCTCTTTTTTCACTAATTGTTGTTATATGTTTATACACATGTATTCCTCAGAATAACCTGCTCAGTCTGAAGGAGCTGCTTAGCAAACTTTTCCATCGGGATTGGGTTACACAATTCTATATACTCATTGGCTGTTGTTTTCTGTAATGGTCTCCTTTTTTTTTTTTTTGGCTTGCAAAGAGAACTTTCCCTGATAAGGGATGAGAACACTTGCCTGTGGGTATAAGAAAAAATATTTAGAGTGTGATTAGAGATGAATTACAGAACATCTGCCCTGCTCAGCCTTATAGACCAGGCAGTGCTGACACACACCTTTAATCCCAGTAGCCACACTAGCTTACTATGGAAACAGGGCAGTAGTGGTGCAGGCTTTAATCCCAGCCCTGGAGAGGAATATAAGACAGGAGGAGACATCTCTCAGGCACAGTCTCATTCTGAGATTACTGGAGGCAGGATCACCATTTCGGACTGAGGTAGAGGTAAGAGCCAGTGGCTGGTTATTTTGCTTTTCTGACCTTCAGGTTGAATCCCAATTTCTGTCTCTGGGTTTTTATTATTTGTGCTACATGTGGGTATGAGGACAAATATTTAGAGTGTAATTAGAGACTATGCTGGTGCAATAAGGTGGTAGTTATAGATTTTTCTCCAAGATACAAGACTTCATTCCATCCCCAGGCATGGCTTCCTTCTTGTTGACCATGCATTAAGTTGAATTTTAGAAACCTAAAGATTACTGCCATTGTATGAGTGGCACTACTGTCCCTTTAGGATAACCATGCCATGTTGGTTTTGTTGTAGTTCATAGGATCAGGTATGGGAGGGCTCCTGGGAGTCTTCTGGTGCCATGAAAACTAGTTCACAGGACAAAGCATTCAGGGCCGTCCCAGCACAGAGGCCTCTGGGCCCTATGTGTGAAGTGCGCAGTGTCTTCAGCAATAAGGATTTACCTGGAAGGAAGATATCTTAACAATGAAAGTTACATATGATCAGGACTAGAAAGCAAACTAAGACAGTACTTACAAAAAAATGAAGAAAATACAGACATGTACAAAAATACACACTCATAGATTACAACAATCAATACTGTTAAAAATGTCTATTCTATCCAAAACAGTCTACAAAGTCAATGCTATTTCCTGCCGAAAGAACATCAATGATGTTCTTAACAGAACTAGAAAGTAAATAATCACAAAAATTGTAAGGAACCAAAAGCAAATGAACAAAAAACTTCCAAATAGCTAATACCATTTTTGGTCAAACAAGCGAGGCAGAAGGCCTTGTACTACCTGACTTAAAAATACAGAAAAAGCTATGGCAGTCAAAATAGCGTGGTTATAAGGACAAATGTCTGTACACTATTGTTAGAGTTTATGCTAGTTTATTAAATTAGTAGTCATAAATTTTCCCCATAATCTGCAACAGAGGGAGACCACTACAAAAAAATACAACCACGTGACTGTGCTGTGGTCATAGACGGTCACATACATCAAAAGAGTTGGTTCCTGCCGACAGTCTGTATAGTTATCAGATTTTCTGTGCGATGGCTCCATACATTAAAAAAAAATACAACCAACCAAAATGCAGAATTGTAGAGTCCAGTCACAAAGGACACATCTATAAAGCAACCCTTATACTATACCCAAGGCTCATAGACCCTGCAGAACAGGGGGTGGGAATAATATAAGAACCAGAGTACAGGGAGTTTGCTGTGAGATAATGTCGCCTAGCATCAAGAGAAGCAACACCCAAAAAGTCTCTCCAACATGGCTGAACAAATGCAAGTGAAAAAAGATGACACCAAACACATGACAAACTGGATATAGGGAAAAGTCCACATGGCCTCAACCCTACACAAATCGTAATTTTTTTCTGGTAAGAATATATAATCAACACAGATTTTAAAAATTAATTGTTCTTTATGCTGTATAAATATTCTTCTTTTATAAAGTGCAAATGCTGAGAACTTGAGAAATAATAGTCTTCCCCCAGTAAAGAGCACACTAAACAGTTATCCAATGGTGAATGGTTGGCCCTGAAACCATAAGTATGAGTAACATTACACAAATGCAGTGAGTTATATAGGAACATATACATACACATACAAATAGTTATATGCATGCAATAAAAATTAGTGAAAAAAGATGCCAAAACAGAGAACAGGTAAGGGTAAATGGGAAGGTACAAGGGAAGGGAAGGGAAGAGAGAAATGTAATCAAAATATAAATCTCAAAATAAAATACACCCAAAATAAGTAGATGTAAAAGGCAAAAACAAAACAAAAACAAAAACAAAAACAAAAAAAAAAAACAAAACCAACAACAACCAAAAAACCTGTTCAGGCGGTAGAGATGGGCAAGGGATCTTCTGGAGCAGGCACGAGCAGTGCAGGAGACATATGCACACTGAGACCCCCGCAGTATGGAGACATAGCAGTGTGAAGACAGTCTCTAGGAGAGGAAAGGACTACCTCCTAATAATACACAATATATATTAAGAGTTCACGTGAATTTACAATAAGAAATAATTAACCTTATTTTAAAATAGACAACACACATGAATAGAAATTTGGAGTGAGGGGAACACCCATCCATTGTTGGTGGGAATGCAAACTTGTGCAGCCACTGTGGAAATCAGTGTGGAGGTTTCTCAGGAAACTGGGAGTCAACCTCCCTCACGACCCAGCAATTCCACTCTTGGGAATATACCCAAGAGATGCCCTATCATACTACAAAAGCATTTGTTCAACTATGTTCATAGCTGCACTATTTGTAATAGCCAGAACCTGGAAACAACCTAGGTGCCCCTCAATAGAAGAATGGTTAAAAAAGGTGTGGAACATATACACATTAGAGTTTTACTCAGCGGTAAAAAACAATGACATCTTGAATTTTGCATGCAAATGGATTGACATAGAAAACGCTTTACTGAGTGAGGTAACCCAGACTCAAAAAGAGGAATATGGTATGTACTCACTCATAATTGGATTCTAGCCATAGTTAAAGGTCTTTCAGTCTATAATTTGTGATTCTAGAGAAACTAAATAAAAAGGTGAACCTGAAGAAAATCATGTGGTGTCCATGGCTTGGGGGAATGGGGGGGGGGAAGGAGGAAGGATGGTTGTGGGTGCAGGGAAGTATATAGCTCAAATAAGGGAGCCATTTTGGGGTTTGCAGGAGGCTTGATTCTGGAGGGGTTCCCAGGCCCAAGGAGAGGTCCCCAGATTGTTCCCTGGGCAGCAGAGGAGAGGGTGCCTGAACTGGCCTTGGCCCATAACCATACTGATGAATATTTTGCATGTCACCATGGAACCTTCATCTGGCGATGGATGGAGATAGAGACAGAGACCCACATTGGAACACTGGACTTAACTCCCTAGGTCCAAATAAGAAGCAGAGGGAGGGAGAACGTGATCAAGGAAGGCAGAACCAAAGGGAACCTTCATCCGATGATGGATGGAGATAGAAATGGAGACCCACATTAGAGCACCGGACTGAGCCCCCAAGGTCCAAATGAGGAGCAGAAGGAGGGAGAACATGAACAAGGAAGTCAGGACCGCGAAGGGTGCGTTCACCCACTGATACAAGGGGACTGATCGAATGAGAGCTCACCAAGGCCAGTTGGACTGGTACTGAACGAATATGTGATCAAACCGGATTCTCTGAATGTGGCTGACACGAGGGCTGACTGAGAAGCCATTGACAATGGCACTGGGTCTTGTTTCGTCTGCATGTACTGGCTTTTTGGGATCCTGGTCTGTTTGGATGCTCACCTTCCTGGACCTGGAGGGAGCGGGGAGGAACTTGGACTTGCCACAGGGCAGGAAACCCTGGCTGCTCTTAGAACTGGAGAGGGAGGAGGAGAGGGAGTGGGGGGAGTGGGAGGGTATTGGGAGGAGGGGAGGAAGTGGAAATTCTTATAAATAAAAAAAGAAACAAATCCTTAAAATAAAATTAAAAAAAAGAAATTTCTCAAAGGAAGATATACAAAAAGTTAACAGGTATATGAAAATGTTCATAATCACTAATTATCATGGAAATGTAAGTAGCAGCCACAATGAGTTGGGGCCAAGAGTAGTATACTTGTAATTCTAGCTAGTCAGTTGTCTGAGACAGGAGGACCAGAAGTTATTACAAGCCTACCTGGGATGTAGAGTGAATTAAAGGCCAATGATGTCAACTTAACACTGTCTCAAGAGAAAAAGAAAAAAGAGAGGTAGGACTGTAGCTCAGTGGCAGAGTGCTTGTCTAGCATGCATAATGCCTGAGGTAAAATGGACAGTACTTTAATAAAAATAAGAGCCCAAATGAAATAGCATCTCACTCCCCCAAAACAACTATTGCCAAAAATTCTGAAGATAATAAGTACTGCTGCAGATACAGAAAAAAGGGAACCCTGAATGAAAATTGTTGAGAAGGTAAGTTACTACACCTGTTACAAAAACAGTCTATTGTTCCTCAAGAAACACAAAACAACCACACATGTTCTGCTGGTAAATCACCATGTCAAAGAAATACCTGCACTCTCAGGTTTATTTTAGCTACAGTCACAATATCCAGGATATAAAAATCAGATACATACTGTTTTTGAATGAGAAAGGAAATTGTATGTATATAACAGAATGTTGCTTTTCCATAAAAGAATGGAATCCTATCATCTGTGCTAACAAGTGTGTAATTGGAAGCCACTATAGTAAATAATGTCAGTTCAATACTGTATGCTCTGACTCATGAAGAAGCCAAAAACATGGGTGAGGTGAGAAGACAGAATGAGGTTGGAAAAGAGGTACAAACGAGAGTAGACAGGAAAAACTGGCTCTGCTCTTCTAGAACCCAGTAATACAGTCTATAACAACATCCATATTTTATATAACGGTAAAAAGATTCCTAACATTTATAGGTTGTTTGATGCAACAGATATTCCAGATACCCCAATTGCATCATTACATATCATATGTATTAAATTATCACAGAACAGCTCATCAATATGCATAAAATTATAAATCAGTCAGAAAGAAAACAAAGTCATTCCCATTTCTATATTTTGGTAGGTATTTGACAAGAGGAAAGAAATGAAAAGGTCCAAGTATAACAAAGTGAATGGTCACCCTGAACAACTTACTGAGGCTCTGCTTCAAATATTAGTGAAAAAATGACAACATAAAAGAAGTTCAGTTCAGAGTTAGCCTACTCGTCTAGTGTTCATGGCTGCTGGGTTCAGCACCCAGTACTAAAAAGCAAGATAACTACATTTGCCTTTTAAAACTAGTAGGATGGTTAAATGACCACCTAATACAGAATACTATTTAAGCATTAATTATATTGGTGATGGACACGCATATGATACTGCCACTTTATGCTCTGAAAGACTTTGAGTAAAGTTCATCTCTGTCTTTAGACACCACTATGAATTTATGATTTGACCCAGTCATGTCTTAAGACCCTATGGCTGATGGACATAATCTATGGATTCTATAAAGACAGAAGTGAGAGGTTGCTTTGAAAAAAAGTAAGAGAGGACTCTTCATACAGCAATCAGCTAGGAAAGTGTCTATTCCAAAGATCTACAGTAAGATCTTAGAGAAAAATGCAAATGTTATCAAATTAGTTTACAACACACCAAAACATCCAACTTCTTCTTGTATTTTAATATTTAGACATAATATAAATATAATTTAGTCTTGAACAGAAGCCTCAAAATGTGTAATAGAAAGCAAAACTGAAAATTTGAGGATGAATTTGTAACAGTGGTAAGAACTTAGCTTACACGGTTAGTATTATTACTCTTGGGAATTTTTTTGTAGGTGAAATGAACAGTGACATAATGCAGCTGTGGTGGTTTAGAAGAAAATGGCCCACAGAAGGTGTGGCCTTGTTGGAATAGTATGACCTTATTGGATGAAGTGTGTCACTGTAGGCAGTTTTGAGGTCTCCTATGCTCAAGGAATACTCAGTGAGGCACACAGTTCACTTCCTGTTGCCTGAGGATCAAGACACGGAATTCTCAGCTTCTCCAGCACCATGTCTGCCTGCACACTGCCATGTCCCACCATGATGATAATGGACATAATCTTTGAAACTGTATGCCAATTCCAAGTAAATGTTTTCCTTTATATGAGTTGCTGTGGCCATGGTTTCTCCACACAGCAACAGATAAGGCAGGAGGCAGCAAAGAGACCAGTGAAATCATTACTTTGTCACTGTATACTAGAAGGCATTAGGGGAAATTGGAGCTTCTCTGTCATGACAAGCTATTAGAAGACTTTCATATTACTAAAACTTATAAGTATAAAACATTCCTGATACATTATCACTGGAAAAGAGGCAAGACTGGGAATTCTACCACTGGAGAAGATTGAACATGTTTTATATTCCTACACAGTGCCTGTGAATGAGCAAAGAAATTAAGAATGTAAAAAATATAAAGCAAAGTATATGGATGTATAGAAATAATTGAATATATTAAAAACAGTATGCTTTTTGTTCATTGGGGTCCATAGTGAAATAGTCAGAGAACTACTGACAGGAATTGTCACTGCACCCTAACAAGGTCACTTGT